CAAGCCATGTTTTTTGGACATCTCTTTGATGCCCAAAAAGAGTCTTCAAACTTAACACTATCAATATATTTCACATTGAACTAATTTTCCCCTCCAAACATAGTCAATTTCATCCCCTCTTTCTGCCCACCATCCATCAGTCGCCCCATCTTTATTCCATCTCTATTCTTTTTGACTCCTCCATCCCCTTCTCAATACTCAGGGTTGCTCATTCTGCTCTCTTTGCCTAATAAGGGCAACAACCATATTAACTTCTACTATGTGGTGGGCACTTACTTTGTGTCAGACTTGGTGCTAAACGATTTATATGTGTGTGATTTCATTTAATCTTTCCCACATTCTTATGACATAGGTCTAAAGATGTGGAAACTGTACTCAAGGTTACAGAGCTAAAGGTGTGACAGGCTGAGTGTTTAAATCTAGTGGGAAGCCAGTGCTCTGACCTACCTTTTCCACCTTGGTAAATTCAACATTTCAAGGCTGAGTTTAATGTGTTTACTCTTAAACGAAGCCTTCCAAATCTCTCCTGTTCTTTCTTCTATGCTCTAAGTATTTTCCTCCTACATTTATTATAATACATGTTGTTGTTTACACATTGGCCCACTTATTAGTTCCTTCGACAAATAAATTTTTAACGCATACACCACCGGACACAGTGCTTGACACAGGTTATCAGCAGTGAATGAAGCAAGCCTGGACCTAGCCTCCTAGAGACCAGTTAGAAAGAGAAACTTTAGGCAAATAACCACACAAATACACCGTAAAATCCCCAGAAGATAATTGCTATGGAGAACAACTTCGGGTGTGGGTGACGTGTCTGTCTCTAGGCATCACATGAGGGCATTAGTGTCGCAACTTCAACATTTTTTACTTTTCCACCATTAACCTGTTCCCTATACTGATATGCAGTTGGTGTTGCACTAAAAAATTATAGAAATTTTTCAGGTTAGACGTTAGATTTCTAATTAGAAATTGAAGTCAATCTTGTAGAAACGGTATGGTAAGCCTTTTTGGAATTATGGCAAGAGTTACAGCGAGAAGAAGAAAGAAATTTTATGAATGAAAAAGTAAGACTGGATTTGACCAAAGGCAAGGTTGTCTCAATGTAAATCTCTCAATTCAGGAATGCATTTGTTCCATTTGATATAGTATGAGGTTGACAATGTTCAGAACATAATGAAAAGCTCTATTTACTCAAATTTCTTCCAGAATGGAGTTGTTGAGTGAGGGTCTAGAAAGATAAATAGACACCTAAGAGTTTTGGTTATTGCTTATTGATACATTCTGTTTACCCTTCTTTCATCTGCTGAGTATGAAAAATTTAACAAGTGGTTTTTGTAAAATCCCACATAAACGAAACCCCCAAGTATGATATTTTATTTTATTTATTTTTATTTATTTATTTTTTTGAGACAGAGTCTCGCTCTGTTGCCTAGGCTA